CTCGGGTTCCCTCAGCGTCTCGGCGGTCTGCTGGGGGGTGGGGCGCAGCTAGTGCGGGGTTTCCTCAGCCCATTCGTAAGTAAGGATCCGACGTAAGTAACACCTCTGTAACTCCAACTCCTTTAGAATTGAGGTTCTGATTACCTAGCACCAGCTGAGGTACAGTGAGCACTGTGTGCTCACGTCTGATATATTTTTACCAAAACTGCTACCTGCCCAACTTGTCAAAGGAGAAAGGAAACAGGGAGGCCAAAAGGAATGGTTTAGAGCAGTGTTTCTCAACCTTTTTTTTTAAAAAATACAGTACCCCTTTTTAAAAAAAATTATAAGCACTCCTAGTACCTACATTTTTCAGACACAGAAATTTTTTTCTACTATTGCAACATATTTGTTGAAACAACTTCATCGTATCCCCATCACTCCTTACAAGGTACGCTGCCCATGGAGGTCAATGGGGCTGGGCTATTTTATATGTAAAGGTACTGAGAAATGTATATGTCAATACCATGATGGCAATGTGTATATTATGTAAATAATACTGAATAATAATTGCCAAACGAGACCACTTCCCAACCTGCTTACAAAGGGCCTGATATAATTTAAATTGTAAGCTAGGATTGAACCCAAAACGATCTGTTGATATAATCCAAAAAGATCCAGATAACATTTAGTCACCCTTCAAACATATAAGAGACCAATCAGTAAAAGCCCCACTGCCTGGTAGAGGTGATCTTTGAAGAAAATTGGAGAGACATTGAATTTACTTTTTCTGACAGTAGCACTTTCCCTCACTTAATGTGGGGTCTTCTGCACAGGTTTCACTTTATGTGTCAGAATAACACAGAAATGTGTTGTCACAGCTAACTCCATTCAGGTCAAAGCAACGTGCACCCCAAAGACAGAAGAACAAATCTCTTGAAGCTGGAAATCAAAACATTTCACCTCTTCACAGAGCTCACAAGAGATCTTGTTCACCCAGAGACATGAGTCATTACAACTCTCTCTGGAGACAGAAACAAAACATCCTGCCTTTCTGTGGATGCACCAAGTGTTTTCATGTGGCATTTTACCATGTTGTTTAAATCGACTGCTTGGATGAGGAAGACTCACAAGAGTCTGTCCATCATCCACACTAGAGCAACATGGGGATTTCACCATAGTGATAACAGACCTGATCTCTCTGTGGGCTCTTGTGGAGCAGCAGGGGGTCTGCAGCAGTCTCTTGGATGGAGAAGCCAGGGGTGCCTCTATTGCAGTGGTTCTCAAGCTTTTTGGCTCATGGACCATGTGTCTCAACGTAAACCTTTCCACAGACTGCCAGTTGCTCATGGAAACTCATCTTTATTTACACAATTATGCCCAGCCATTTTGCTAGTGCTGCAGCTGGGGAGAATGGTTTAATTTCAATTATTAAACAGATTAAATGTTTAACTGTCATGTTTATTTAAAATGAAGTTTGATAAACTAAGTAAAATATTAATTTATGTCCAATACAAAAGGTTTCAATGTTTTCTTTACTTATGGCACAGGTAGGCAACCTTTTTTGGATCGGGGCCACTGACCTACAGAAAAATCAGATGGGGAACACACAAGTGAGAAAAAAAACTCCTCCCAAAACCCCAATCCTCACTTAGGTGGCCCCCAACTGAGACACCTCACTCCTCTGGCATTCCAGCCCCAAGGAGTGAAGGGAAGGGATGGGGAGGTCTGAGGTTCAGGGCTTTCCATAGGCTAGGGGGTTCAGTGTGTGTGAGAGGGCTGCCAATGAATAGCATAGGGATCAGGTGCAGGATCTGGGAGGGAGGTGGGGGGGCGGAAGGAGGCAAGGTTTCGAGGTCTGGGTGGGAGGTAGGGTGCAGAAGCAGGCTGGGGTGTCTGGCCAAGGGGAGGGAGCAAGGAGGGGACTTGGGTAGGAGTTGGACTTCCCTGGTCTGGCACCCTCTGGACCTGACTGGTCCCAGATAAGGGATTTTTTGGACCACGGGTGGTCATTTCAGGGCTCCTGGTGCCCCTTCTCCCCCCACTAGGCTTCTTTGCACCTCCATCCCCTGCAACCTAGCTGAGCTGCCCATCCCCTCTGGTTCCCTATGCCTCCCCCAAAACCATCCCTCACAATCCAAGGGAGCACAGCACCAGTTCCCTGCACCTCCTCGCAGCCCAGCTGAGCTGCCCGTCTGTTCTCCATGCCTCCCCCCATCCGCCTCAGCCCAGTTGATCCCTGCACTGGTTCCCTGCATGCCTCCCCCACAGTACAGCTGAGCCCCATTTCCCTGCACCTCCCCCCAGCCCCGCAGACCTGCTGAGCCCAGCGCTGATTTCTTCCCCCTCCCTCCCTCTCCTTGAGTCCAGCCCCGGGAGTTCCCGGCACCTTCCTCCTCCTGCAGCCCAGCTGAGCCCAGCACCCTGCACCTCCCTCCCCGCCCACAGCAGCTCAGCCTAGCACCCCCTAGTGTGGCACCTGGGGGCAACTGCTCTCCCCTGCGACCCCCTTGCTATGCCTCTGCCTACCATCCCAGCTTCTGGGGAAGCAGCTTCTCTCCCACAGAGATGCTGCCTCTGTGGGAGCCAGGCAGCCAGTCCCTGCGGGCTCTCCTCTCGGAGAGGAGGCTTCCCCAGGAGCCTGGGTGTAACCAAAAAAAACCATCAACCAATAAGCATTATCTTATCGGTTAAACAGTTACTTGGTTTCACTCAAACATCCCTAGGCACAGTGCCATGTGACCCCCATGCACCAGATCACAATGCCCAGAGTTGGAAGCTAGTCCCAGATGTGCAGGACAGTAGTCACCGCTGCCGAATGAATGTGGGGTCTAGGGATGTAAGCAACTACTCGACTACTGGATAAGTCATGTATGAGTAGCAACTCAACTAGTCGCCCCCCTCCCTGGCTGCCTTGATCAGAGAGAGGCAGCGGGGGGAGGGAGGGCAGGAGCCAGTGCTGGGGGGGAGCTGGCTTTAAAAGCTGATTCCCCCTAGCACCGTCTCCATGGGGGGGGAGGGGCAAGGAAACAGTGTGAGTGGGGACTGAAGCCCTGAGGGGCTTTTGCTATGTTTCAAAGGTAGAGGTAGAACTCCAGGCGAGTGGGAACTGCTTGAATCCCCGCAGGCGGCTCTTACTACATTTAAAAGGCAGAATTGCAGAGGGGCTAGGAAGCGCTCCACCCCACCCCTTATCAACTAATCGAGTAGTCGACAGAAATTCCATCGACTACTTGATTAGCTGATTAATCGAAATGTAACATCTCTAGTGGGGTCAGCTTATTCTCCAGCTCCTTGTGAAAAATACTGTGTGCAGTTTTGTCAAGTGCACCATCTTCTTGAAAAGGCACTACCCAAACACCTAAAGGCTGCTGGGGGCTGTGCAGCCACTCAAGAGAGATTCAGCTAGATTTCTTATTTCTACTTGATGGGCACATTTGCACATGCCTCAATGCACATAAAAAATTATTTCACTCATGGATGGAAAAAATCCACACACGGTTGAAAAAGATTAGAGGGAACATTGATCCTCCCACCCTCCCCAGTTCTAATTAGTTGTCACTGATAAAAAGACTAATTGTTCGGGCTAGCTCTATGTTAGCTCTATATAGTTCTTACTTTGTGAAAGCTGTTTTCTTCTCCCACATTGTATAAGATGGCATCATATGATTCTCATACTATACATAGTAAAGAAAAAGACAATACATGAATGGTGAATGAATTATTGTTTCTTTGGCGTTTCCGATCCTGGCTCAGACTGTGTTCCCTGGATCCAGATGCTTGGAATGTGCTCCTCCACATTTGGATATCCCTTGTTAACCCAAAAATGGGGCACTTTTTACTTCCTCTCCTGCAAGTCCTGCTGATGGAGGTCTCTTCAGAGTTCTGCTATATTTTTGACCCCAGCATTAAAAACAAAAACAAAAAACAAAAGTTAAGGACTACAAAAATAATGAGATTAAAAATAATAATGCCTTTTAGGTGCCTTTTATTTGCCTTCTGAGCTTTTCGTGTATGCTTTGGTCAGTTTCTCAAGCTTTTCTCCCTAACAATGACTGTTAGAAACTTATCTTTTAAAAATACGAAAGCTAGAATTCTCCAAGAATCACATTTCCAGGAGCTTTACTAAGAACAGCAAATGACTATCATGAGACCTGTGACAAAATTTTAACAGTTGGCAATATTGGATGGATCTATTTGGGAGAAAGAGTAGAGTCAGAGCAACCAGGACATGAAAAAACAAAACAAATTATGCACAAACATAGTGAGCTGTCAAAAAGGTATGAATAAAGACATTGACTAGCACACTATCTTCCACATCCTAATGACTTAACCAACTAACAATGGGTATTTAAGAACAATTTGCACCTTCTTTATCTTATCGGCTTCTTATAACTTGAACACTCTAATGCACTGTTTTTTCCCCTTATTCTTTCCCCCCCCCCCCCCCCCCCCCCCTCCTCTTTTTCTTTTCCTATTTATTCTCGGATCTGGACTTTTTATACTCAAATCACCTGAAGAAGTGGGTTGTACCCACAAAAGCTCATGATACCTTCTACATGTTTTGTTAGTCTTTAAGGTGCTGCTAGACGATTCATTGTTTTTTTAAGTTTTTCCAATTACAGACTAACTTGGCTTCTCCTCTGAAGCTTATGCACAAACACACATTCTTTCTCTTTGTGCTACAGTCCGTGGAGCTAAACTTCAAGCTGTGCTAACCCATGGCTTGCGAGGGTTGTCAGAGCCAGGAGAGCCATTGGAGCAACTTACAGTCAATGTGGAAGAGGAAGGTAGTAAGAAGACACAATGCATCTGGCCATTTGGCTCTTCCTGTGCTTGGACCAAGCACAGGAACAATCAAGTTGGGGTTGGGGGCAGGCCTTCAAAGCTGCTTGTACAAGGGGGATATGCCTGATGGACTAGTTGGGGAGGAAGCTTTGAGGCAGGGAGAGACTTTCTGGTTTTCGACAATGTTTAGTACTTTATGGGCAGTAAATTACTCCAATCTAGTATATAGTTGAGAGAGTTTGTTTGTCTGTCTGTTCAAGAACTCCTCCTACACAGCAAGCGCTAGGACCACCATATTTGGTATACAGTTTCCTTTAATCATAACTTTAAAGCAAGACAAGGGTTTGGCTGTACCAGGAAAATGAGATGTGCCTGGAATGGGATTGCTTCTCAGAAAACCATACAGGAAAGAGAATAGGATTGTCAGGTTTTCGCCCGGACAGTCCAGTATTTGTGGCCCCTGTCTGGTAAAAAAACCCCCCAAAAAAACCCAAAATACTTTTGCTCAACAAGTTTGGTCACCCCCCACCCCCTTTTTTTCCCCCTCAAACAATTGTTTTGCTCCCCACCATGTGTGGGATATTTTGTGAAAGTATCTTGGTACCCTAAAAGAGAATCCCCAGGTACATGAAAGAAGCTAGCTAGGAGCATGCCCCACCCCCCAGGACTGCTCCAATTACCCTTTAGAGAGGGCACGGGAGGCCAAAGACAAGTTTGGTCACCCCCCACCCCCTTTTTTTCCCCCTCAAACAATTGTTTTGCTCCCCACCATGTGTGGGATATTTTGTGAAAGTATCTTGGTACCCTAAAAGAGAATCCCCAGGTACATGAAAGAAGCTAGCTAGGAGCATGCCCCACCCCCCAGGACTGCTCCAATTACCCTTTAGAGAGGGCACGGGAGGCCAAAGCTCCGTGCAGTTCACTGCATTCCTCACTTTGGCTGGGGAGCGTAGGAACCTGGACTTGCCTCTGTGGGGGGACATGTACTCCTTGCCTGGCTGTGACTACTGGAGCTGCAGCAGCCATTGAGAGGCACCACTCACCTAGGCCCAAGCTGCTGTGGTGAGAGAGGACTGGGATAGTTCTCTCTCTCTGAGGCAGCCTGCATAGTATCACAGAATCACAGGAGTTGGAGACTCAGCAGGTCATTGAGTCCAACCCCCTGCCCAAAGCAGGACCAACCCAAACTAAATCATCCCAGCTAGGGCTCTGTCAAGCTGGGACTTAAAAAACCTCTGAGGATGGAGATTCTACCACCTCCCTAAGTAACCCATTGTAGTGCTTCTCCACCTTCCTAGTGAAATAGTTTTTCCTAATATCCAACCTACACCTCCCCCACTGCAACTTGAGACCATTGCTCCTCATTCTGCTATCTGTCACTATGGAGAACAGCCTCTTTCCATCCTCTTTGGAACCTCCCTTCAGGTAGTTAAAGGCTGCTGTCCAGGAGTAGCCCTAGACTAGCTGATAGCAACTGGCACCCTAGGCAAACCATGCAATCGGCCCCCCCACCTGCAAACCCCTCAATGATATTGCACCACCATTTGGTGCCCTGTGGCACCTCATTTAACTTGGCGCTCTAGGCGACCGCCTAGTTTGCCTATATGGATGGGCCGCCCCTGCTGCTATCAAATTCCCTCTCACTCTGCAGACTAAACAAGCCCAAACCCCTCAGCCTCTCCTCGTCAGTCATGTGCTCCAGCCCCCTAATATTATTTGTTGCACTCTGCTGGACTTTCTCCAATATGTCCACATCCTTTCTGTAGTGGGGGGCTCAGAACTGGATGCAATACTCCAGATGTGGCCTCATCAGTGACAAATAAAGGAGAATAATCAGTTCTCTAGATCTCCTGGCAATGCTCTACTAATGCACCCTAATATGTCATTAGCCTTCTTGGCTACAAGGGTACACTGTTGACTCACATCCAGCTTCTTATCCATTGTAATCTCCGGGTCCTTTTCTGCCGAACTGCTACTTAGCCGGTCGGTCCCCAGCTTCTAACGGTGCTTGAGATTCTTCTGTCCCAAGTGCAGGACTCTACACTTGTCCTCGCTGAACCTCATCAGATCTCTTTTGGCCCAATCCTCCAATCTGTTTAGGTCCCTCTGGACCCCATCCCTACCCGACAACATATTTACATCACCCCTTAGCTTAGTGTCATCTGCTAACTTGCTGAGAGTGCAATCCATCTCCGCATCATCCAGGTTAATAAAGATGTTGAACAAAGCCAACCCTAGAACTGACTCTTGGGGCACTCCAGTGCAATCCATCTCCGCATCATCCAGGTTAATAAAGATGTTGAACAAAGCCAACCCTAGAACTGACTCTTGGGGCACTCCACTTGAAACTGACTGCCAACCAGACATCAAGCTATTGATCACTACCTATTGAGCCCAACAATCTAGCCAACTTTCTATCCACCTTACAGTCCATTTAACCAATCCATATTTCCTTAACTTGCTGGCAAGCACACTGTGTGAAGACTTCATCCTCAGCCCCGTTCCAGAGCAGTAACCTAAATGAAGCATGTACATTTTCATTTTATTTTCCAAAAAACAAAAGTTAACTGAGATAAAGACCTGAGCAACGCTGTGTAAATCTTCCAGTGATAAATAACAACATAAAACCTGCACTTTCCCTGCCCTAGTGACAGAGGAGGTACAACCAAACCAGATTCCACCACTACAAAACCAGGGGCCCTATTTTAACCTCACAAATGACTTCCTAAGAGGTATTAAATAGCCTGCAAAAAAATATAAGCACCATTGTTTGTATTGTGCAGTTCACTGTCCTGCTCCATCCCTAGTTACAAGGTTGAAAAACCTATGGCCCTGGGCCAGGATCAAGCCCCCCCCTTGAGGCTCAAGCCCCCCTCCCAGGATTGGGGAGCCCATGCTGGCGCTCCAGCCCCTCTGCCACTGCACCGCTGGGCTGGAGCACACAAAATCTACTAGACTGGGCCCCCATAGGCTCTGGCGTGCAAGGGGAATGTGGGGAGGGGCTATCTGCTTCTCAGTTGGGGGCCACATCAGTGAGGCTTTTTTTTGTTTTGTTTCGCTTCTCACTTGTGAGCAGCCCCTCACTGATTTTTCTGTGGGTCAGTGGCCCTGAGCCAAAAAAAGGTCCCCCCCCCCCTTGTCATGGATTGAAATTGAAATTTCTCTGGAGACAGTGGTGCAGTGTCTGTAAATTACCCAGCACAAAGGGCCATGATTCTGACGGGGGCCTCTAGTTGTTACTGTCATACCTATAAAAACTGAATAATAATGCAGCCCACGCACAGACCTACCACTGGGTGCCATTAGCTTGTGTGTGATGCCCTCATGGCAGGCTCCTGACGCGCTTTAAATAGGGACCAGAATCTGACAGTCACCCAAGTTTGCAGATGCTAGGTCTGGGCTTTGGTTTTGTGCCCATCTCTAGCGTCTACATGATCACCAGTTACTGATCACAGCAGGCCCGGCCCAGGTCCAGCTCTCTGAGTCTCACCTCAGCGCCCAGCCGGGGCTGCCGGCTGCAGAGCGTGCGAGGCGCCTCCCCTCCGCTGGGCTTCCCGCAGGGGGCTGCCGCGCGCCCAAGTAGGCTGCAGCCTGGAGCAGCTCCCGGCCTGGCGGGGCTATTCCCAGAGCAGCCGCTCTCAAGCAGAAGCGAAAGCGGCCGCCCCAGGGAGAAGGCGGAGGGGAGCGCCGCGCCCCCGCCCCTCGCTGCCAAAGGGCCGGCCCCTTCAGGAGCCGAGCGCTGCTGCGATTCCGTCCCGCGCCTCCCCCTGCAGACAGGAGCCGGGGGGGTGGCACCAGCGGAGGGGGCGATGCTGCTCCAGCTGAGCGCCGAGTTTGATCTCCAGAGTGACGTGGTCCCGTGGCTCTTGGCGCAAGGTCCGGCAGCGGCTCTAGGTAACGCTGATCTGCCAAAGGGCCGGCCCCTTCAGGAGCCGAGCGCTGCTGCGATTCCGTCCCGCGCCTCCCCCTGCAGACAGGAGCCGGGGGGGTGGCACCAGCGGAGGGGGCGATGCTGCTCCAGCTGAGCGCCGAGTTTGATCTCCAGAGTGACGTGGTCCCGTGGCTCTTGGCGCAAGGTCCGGCAGCGGCTCTAGGTAACGCTGATGCTCTGGGAGGCGCTTTCCATCCTGCCCGCTCAGGCTCGGTTTTTGTAGGGTCGCCCCTCTCCCCCGGGAGCCAGATCTGTCTTGCACTCCGCTCAGCTGCGAGGCGGCGTTCCTCGCACGGGGCTCTGGCTCCTCAAGTGCCCATGTGTGTAGCTATCTGCCCCCTTAAGCCTCCCCTCCGCTCGTTCTAAAACGGGGCACAACGCAAACCCGGGAGAGAGAGGTTTGGCACTGTGTGATGTTAATGTCCACGCGCGGTTAAAAGCGGGCTACAGTCTAATTTTTCAGGAGTCAGCACCTTAGATGAGCGTATGGCAGTAATAACAACATACTGCTGCGTGGTGACAGTGTCAAAACAGCCCAGGTGTTCGGTGTGTTTAAGCATGGGCCTAACTGAGTGAAGTAATAGAAATGTAGCCCTGTTAGTCTGGTGTAGCTGAAGCAAAATGCAGGACTATGTAGCGCTTTAAAGACTAACAAGATTGAAGTAGTGTCTTATTTGGGCATGCTGTGAACCACTGCCAAAACACATCTGGAAATACCTGTCTGCCTTGATGTGTGCTTTGGTTTTTCCCATTTGTATGCTGGTTGTGGCCAGCTGTGGGGAAGGCTGGGATTGATTTTTCCTGCTTACTTGGGGAACCATGTGGGGTGCATTCACACCCTTGTGATCCACATTTACAAAAAAAGCACCCCACCCCTCAGAAATTCCTGCATATGGGCCTGAATGTCCACTTTAAAAGGGATGCAAAGTTATTTCATATGGTGTGAGTTTACATTTTAGATATTTATTTTTTAAATGGAGAAGCAGTGTGTTACATCTGTTATGGTAGGGAAGTGAAAATAGTTATGTTACAAACATGAGATGCAGACTGCACTTAAGGTGACATGAGAAGTGCTGTGAACTGCAGGAAGTAACCTATGTAGATTTAACTTCCTACAGAAAACTACTGTCATATATGCTAGACATTGTCCCTTTCTTTCACAAAACTTTTCTCTCAGTCCTCGAAACCAAACATCTGTTTAGAATACTTTCTCTGAGTTACCTCCTCTTTTAAAAACAAACATTTTTTATCCATGTTGTAAGTGAATGCTAATTAAAATTTGATTAATTGTGAAATACCACAACAATGTGATTGCTAAATTATTCTGTTTGGTGGTGTGATAGTTAAGAAGTCATGAATAAACCCATTGGATTTTTAGCACTATGGTTCCTCCACTCCCATCCAGCCTCACCTGTGAAATACAGTAACTGGTTCATTTTGGGTTTTTTTTAAACTGCAAAAGACTGAGTTCAGAAAAGTAGAAAAATAGCATAAAAATAATTATCTTGATAGAGACAGACACTAGTGTAGATACTAAGTTCTGAATGTCTATTTGGACACCTTTTGATAAGGTGCATAGTTGATTTTTTTTTTAAAGTTATCTGTGTATTGTTGCTCTTTAAAAGGGTATATATCAGTTTGATTTCACCCCAATCAAGCTTATCATAAACAAAGCTAAGTAGATGTTTCCATTATTTTAAAAATAAATTCCTTATCTTTCCTCTTACCCCAATATCTGTAGTTCAAAAGTATTCTATGCATGTTATATATTGTTATCTATCATTACATACTGAAATAATTGACTGTGATATGGATCTGACCCCTAGTGTGGACTTTGCACAGATATAGGCAGTGCACAGCTTTTTTTAAAAAAGCAAAAAACAAATATTTTAAAAAATAAGCCTTTCTGATGTCACTAGAGTTACTGTCTAGCATTTCAGTTTATGGTCAGCCTAGTGATTTTTCTGCCTTTCAGAAATATAGAAATTATATTTATGCATAGCCACCCACTGTATTGTAGCCAGCTAGTTAAACTATTAAACTACTTTGGGTTCAGTTCCTATTACTACAGTTTCAAGCTGAGTAGTTAACTTGTAAAATCTCACACACGTGTTTAACTTTATTCTCGTGACACAATTCGTATGAACCATGTTAAGCATCCATATAAGTTTTGTCAGTAGTGAAACTGAAATCACTGGATTTTGAACAAAAATATCTTTTATAATGCTGAACTTATTATACAAAAATATCTTGTATCATGCTGATCTCATGCTTTGTGCCCACAAATAGACTTTCTCTAGTTCTAGGTCTTACTTTGTAGAAGCATTGTGTTTGTAAAACACTGGTCAGAGCTGAAGAAATTAAACTTTTTAAAATAAACACATGTTAATATTTAAATTTTCAACTGTTTTGAAGGAAATCTGTGCTTATTTTTGCTTAGTATAACCATGTGAGTGTTCAGGAGACAAGCAGCACTTCTTGCTATGAATTAAAACGGCTATATTTGAACAAAGTTTTCCTGGCTATTTGGAATCTGTTGGGGGTGGCTACCGGCTGCAAGGTCACAAACAGCCATCGGTATACAGGAAACTTAAAGCAACTTTCAGAATTGCTTGAAAACTGATTTAATGGTCTTAAAAATCATTTTAATTTTGAGACGTTAAATCATTTTTTCATTTAGCACTAATTATAACACTGAAAATTAAAATATTTCAGAGGGTAGCTGTGTTAGTCTGTAACTTTAAAAACAGCAAATAGACTTGTGGCATCTGATAAAGTGGGCTTTGCCCACAAATGCTCATGATACTATAGCCAGATGCAGGACTATGTAGCACTTTAAAGAGTAACAAGATGGTTTATTAGATGATGAGCTTTCGTGGGCCAGACCCACTTCCTCAGATCAAATAGTGGAAGAAAATAGTCACAACCATATATACCAAAGGATACAATTAAAAAAATGAACACATATGAAAAGGACAAATCACATTTCAGAACAGAAGGCGGATGCGGGGGGGAGGGGGGAAGGAAGATAAGTGTCTGTGAGTTAATTATATTAGAGGTGGGGAAAGGTAGATGTCTGTGATATTCTTGTTAGTTTCTAAGGTGCCACTGGAATACTAGTTGTGATTAGAAATTCACGTTTTCTTCCTTGAAGATGTGAGAGTGTTATGCAGTCACTCTTGGAATGTCCAGTGATGTAGACATGGGGCATAGCTAGGATCAAGGAAAGAACTATATACTGAAAGCAGGTTGGTCTCAGGCAGGCTCTGATCATTAAGGGTATGTCTGCACTACATGGAAGATCGACTCTGCTATGGTCAATATTCTGGGGTTTGATTTAGTGGGTGTAGTATAGTCTCGCTAGATTGAACTCAAAGGGCACCCCCATTGGCACAGGTACTCCTATTCCTTGTGAGGTATAAGGGAAGACAACAGGAGAATTTGATCCCGTTGACCTTCCGTTGTGTGAACGGGGATTTAAGATACATCGACTCCAGCTACATCAGTTAGGTAGCTGGAGTTGCATATCTTACTTTGACTTTCCCATGTAGTTTAGACCAGGCCTAATTGTGTTAGCGCAAAACAGTATAAAAATACCTGACCATATGGAAGAGGTATACTCTTTACCTGCCTTATGTGATAACTATAAAGTAAATAGAGTCAAACCCAGCTAATAGCCTAACAAAAATCTTGAAAAAATTTTTCCATTCACACTTGCTGAGCCATATTGCTCTGACAGACTACGATACAGTGGTTAAAATGTAGCTATCAAATGTTTTTGTTGTGGACTACATTTCCTCTCTCAAATAACACCCAATGTGCAATGTAATAACCTCTTGACAACCACAGCCTCCAGAAAAGTGGCATAAGGAAAGCATGTCTTTTTATTGTCTTTAATATGATATGAGCTTTGTCTTTCTTGACGTACACTAATAACGATTTTTCCTGTTTGTTTGTTTGTTTTTGTTTCGGGCTTCCCTGTTACCTGGTCCTTCTCTTTTCCCTTCATGTCCATCTTGGCTTTCTCATAATCTTCCCCTCCTCCACCCTCAGTCTCTTATCTATGCTTCCTTGACACATGGGATCATTACAAATGCTCTTGTGCTGCTTTGTTTCCAGGTACCCCAATGCAGTGGTTCTCAAACTAGGGTATCTGGAATGTATTTGGGTGGGAGGGCACAAAAAGATTTAGGGAGAAAAAACAGTTTACTGTGCACACTCAGAGTTGGGTGGCCCATGAGCAGTAGCTGCTGACTGGACACCAGCTGTGAAGGCAGTGCCACTGCCAGCAGCAACACAGAGATGAGGGTGGCAATACTTATAAAGTATAAATACTTCCATGCCACCCTCACTTCTTCACTGCTGCTGCTGACAGTGCTGCCTTCAGAAGTTTTGCAAAGAGATGGTTGAATTCCATTACCATGACAATTAGAGCTGTTACATCAGGTATGGTTTTCATATGATTCAGTAAGTGAGTGGGGAATGTTCAGAAATTAAGCTCCATTTCCATAAGCTTTAAAACTCATTGCATCTCATTTGAAGTTTAATTTAGGATTAAATAGAACTCTGTGTACTACACTATTATCCTCAAGAA